AGGGTCTAGGCCCGAAACGTCAGCCTTTCTGCTCCTATGATGCTGCTTGGCCTGCTGTGTTCATCCAGTTCTGCACCTTGTTGTCTCGGATTCTCCAGCATCTGCAGTTCCTACTATCCCCGAAATCTTCACCTTGAATTTTTATCGCAGTTGTAACCTGATTAATCATTCCAGAACGCTTCACATGAGTATTATAAACCAACATTTGATGTATAAGGTGATATGTGACAGATGACCCAAACCTGCTAAAAGAGGTAGAGTTAGAGGAATCTTTTAAGGAAGGAGAGAAGTGGGGAGGCTTAGGGAGGGCATTCCAGAATTTAAGCTCCAGAAAACTGAAGGCACAATTGTCAGTGAAAAAAACAATCAAAATTGAGAGTGGACAAGAGGCCAGAATTGGAAAAACATTGTACTGAAATTTTGGATGATTGTAGCACTGGAAGACGTTAAACAGGTAGAGAGGGATGTAGCCAGGAGCAGACTTGCAAACAGAAATGAAAATTTTAAATACACAGTCAGCTTTGTTAAAACCTTAAGGACAATATTTTGTGGATTTACTGTGAAGCCAAGGAAACATTCCTATGGTTAAAGCACAAAATCACCAACTTTTCACTCAGAAGGTGTGTACACTAAGGTTTATTCATATTGTTTTTCCAACTGAAGAGGCCTTGTTTAATCTGAACATATTTTAACTTGTTTGCATGACATACTAACTCCAAGAAATAAGGACTGCAGATGCTGGAAGACAGAGTCTACAGGTGTGAGGCTGAAAAAGCACAGCAGGTCAGACAGCATCCAAGGAGCAGGTACGTCAATGTTTCAGGCCTAAACGTTGACTTATGTGCTCCTTGAATGCTGCCTGACATGACACACTAACTCCAGTTTGGTAACTTTCTGATGGTACTAAGATTTTTATCTAAACTCCATTCTTTTTAAGACATGAAACTGTCAATATCAATCTGTTGAACAAGCCTGACTGGTTCTTCGAGAAGAATCCCCTTGGTATGGTGCCAATCTTGGAGACCTGCAAGAACGAGCTGGTCTATGAGTCTCCAATCACCTGCGAGTTTCTAGATGATACATACCCTGCCAAACGGCTTCTGCCCACAGATCCCTACGAGAAGGCCAAGCAGAAGATGCTGCTGGAACAGTTCAGTAAGGTGAACGGGGAGTATATGTTTTTATCGGATTGAGTGTGACAAGTTTAGTTTCTGGCCATGGACACAGCAGAGGGCATATAAAGGCATCAGTGGCCTTCAGACAGCTCATAGAATCATACAGGTCAAATGCAGGCCAATTGACCCAATATTTCTGCGCCAGCTTTTCAAAAGAGGTCTTTTCAATTAGGCCTACTCCCTTACTCTATTGCTGATTACTGACCATTAGTCTGTTATAAACTAGTTAATAGGGATTTATTCCTGTGATTAATCAGAAAGTTAATAATATTGCATCATGTGACTATCAGGAAGGCAGACAGGGAACTCAGTGAAACATGGAGTTCTCCAATGTAGGATTCCTCTGGCTTCTGATGTTGGTTTCATCCCATTTGTTGCTTCAAAACTGGTCTAAACTAATTTTCAGGCCACCGGTTACAATATCCCCACTCTGAACTTTTTCTCCATACAAGACATTTTGTCAGAATTGACAGAGGCAGGTGCAGAATTCCTCAAGGAAAGGCAAGGAGAAGAGCAGACAATGGTGGCAGTTCCAAGTGCTGGGTATTGATCTTAAAATCAGGTGAATATTTAATGACTGGAGGTGGTTTTATTTTAAATAGTGCTGAGTAATTTAGAAAGTCCACTGGGAAACAAACTGGTTTCAAACAGGAACAGAAGACTATTCCTGTTCTGCTACCTATCAGTGAGATGAGAGCTGATTGTTACATTAATTCCATCTACCTGCTTTGGCTTCTTTCCTCCATTTCTCATATCCTTCAATGTCCTTGGGGGATAATTCCACATTTCCACTACACATGGCATTGCCATAAATGGCTCTGGTCACAGTGCAATGTCTATCCAGCTCCTTCCTCCAGCTGGGCCTTCAGTTGTTCTTTGCTGAATTGGCACACAATATTTTCTTTAGATAGATCCCACAGTTTTCACCTTCAGCACACCTTTTTAGTTAGTGTTCCAACAACACAAGAAAGAAAAACAGGATGAGACTGCATAGACCATTGACAGTCCTCTACCATTCTGTAAGATTATGGCTGATCTTGAGCTTCCCACCGACTCCCGTGATCCCTGTGGAGAACAAAAATCTGTCTTTCTCAGCCTTAAATGTATTCATCAATACAGTATCCTCTGAGGAGACAATTCCAAAGATTCACAATTCATCGAGTGAAAAATGTCACAGCCTTATATGATTAGCCCCCATATCATGCAAATGTGTCTCTGCATTCCAGACTCCTCAGCCAGGAGAAACAGCTTCTCAATATATACGCTGTCAAGCATGTTCAGGATCTTTGACATTGCAATTGCCTCTCATTCTCTTAAACCCCAGGAAATATCAGCCCAATTTACTTAGTCTCTCAACAAAGGGCAACTCCCTCAACCCAGGTACCAATTTAATGAATCTTCACTGTATCACCTCCGATGCAAGTATATCTTCCTTAAATACAGAGACAAAATTTGCATGCCATATTCCTGATTTGTTCTCACCAAAGCCTTGAACAATTGTAGCAAGACTTCTTTATTCCTGTACTCCACTTGCCTTGCTGTAAACGTCAACATGCCGTTGCCTTCCTATCTGCTTGTAGGTACCTGCTACTAACATTCTATGCATCTTGCACGAGCACTCCCAAGTCTTTAAGCATAAAAATTTACAAGTTACAGAGAAAGATAGAATTATTACAGTGCAGAGTAAACCATTCAGCCCATCATGACTGTGCCAGCTCTTCAAATTAGTATTTTATTCCAGTGCCATTCCCCTACCCTTTCCATAATCCTGCATATTGTTCCCTTTCATATATCAGTCTAACTCCCTTTTCAATGCTTCTCCTGAACCTGCCTTCACCGCATGCATAAGCAGTGCATTGCAACCCCTAACCACTCGCTGCATTGTTATAATCCCAGCAGTCGATAATCCTGCTCAAGTCGAATCTCAGAATGAAATGATACTTGATAGATCAGAAGTTTTATTTTGACAGTTGGTTACTGTAATGTTAGTCACTCAACATATTCACATGAGTTTGCCAATGTTCTCTTAATACAAGAATACAAAAGGAAAACAAAACTAATAACCTTATATTTTTGTGTATATGTAAGTCAATTTGAATAGTTTTCACACAAGCGACTTGGACAAAAACGTTAACCTTTTTTCCAGCAATATCCTTTTCCAGATAAACCTCAGATAACTTAATCCTGGATAAATTCCATTTCTATCTTAACTCTTTAACTTCTTACATAACCAACTCTTTCAGTTTTCCTTATTGTATTGTTGAAACAGTTTTAAGACTTCTTTTCAGTTCTGATGACCTAAATCTCATTTCAGTCCTGACAGCATGAACACTTCCACGCAAACTCTCACAACACGGAGACGTCAGAAAATTAAACCATTCTGCCAGGATGAAATTGAAACTTGATTCTTCAGAACTGAACTCAAACTAAACTAACAGTGTCCCTGATCATTTATTTTTCTGTATCTCATCAAATCAACAGTGTAATCATTTCATCAATTAACCCCACCAGTATTCAGATAGTCACATGATTTTTGGAAAATGACTTTAGGTCACTTCTCCAAATGACTTTCTTACTTCTTTTAAACAAAAAAGCCCTCATAGAGTGGAAACCAAAGTTTATTTTCCCTCAATGTTTAAAAAAATCCAAATTTCCAAATGATTGTATTTTATACAGCTTTATCATTGCAAGAAAAAGATCTTCATTTTTATTGTTTAATGTTTAGACTTTATTTCATTTTTAAAAATTATTTCTCA